ATCTACTCGACCACATGCCTTATTTCTTTGTAGCAATAAGTGTACTTAACTTTGCTCATTTTTAAGCAGATCAATTATAAAGATCAATTTATTCATTTACACAGTCTCTTGTGAAAAAATATTTACCTCATCGCTGTCAACATTAAGTATTTTGAATTTGGGGTGCGTAAATTTAAAGTTTATTTTTAATTCCTAATCTAATCGGCAATTTGATCTTCCACTTGATTTCGAAATAATTCAATCTCACTTCAAGGGAACCCATGAAATGATATTAATAATTGCGAATTGAACGGAATATAATTCAGTGCTTTTTTGTCCCACTAATGACAAATATTGAGCTTGAATAGTTTAGTAATAGTCAGATTTTTTGCCGAATCGCATATCATGGCAAGTAATTAAAAATATTGACTATTTTTGACGCTGAATCGAAAAGGTGATAGATATGAGCAAAATCATTTGATTCTCAGCCTTAAAACAGCTTAAATGCAGGTTAAAACGGATGCAATTATGTTTGAGAAACCTGGTAAGCTCAATACCTTGAATTCATGTTAAACAGTTTATATGTTATGGGTCCAGCAATTTCAGTTTTAAGTCAATTCCATTCGATGAAGTAGCAAGTGTTTTGAACTCGCGTTCTCAAGTTGTCAATTTATTACTTTTAATTTGGCAGTTTAATTGAAACTTTTGAAAACAGACTATTATTCATTATGTTCAAAATTGGACACGGAGCAAGTACTTAAATGCATTGATTTACGACTAATGTTTGTGCATGGTAGGAGATTAGAAGAAAATTGTTCAGATTTTTACAGATTTGAAAAGCGTTTTTGCCATGGAAATAAACTTTTAATCTGTCATAGAATGCATTCCATTCCCTCGTGATACAAAAGCATGTAAATCGCCGTATTCGCACCTCGTCGACAAATGAAGTTTAAAGGGGAAAAACATAATCATTGCTGTGTAAATGTGAGCCGATTTTCGTATTTCGACTGCAATAGATAAATATCTGGTCATTAATGCAAATAACTGCTTATCAAAGGTTTATTTTAAATCCAATAAACCGTATTTAGTAATCTAAAGCCCACAAAAATAATATAATTGACAGAAAATTGAAATTTATTTAGAGCGTCATAAACGACGAATTGAAGACACCTAGAAAAATCGGATGGATAAAATAAATAGAACTATATTGAATCACGAGATTCGCGTTAGATTTACTTCAATATGATGTTCCAGAGCAATATTTATTCATACGCCCAAAAAGGTTTGCAAAGTTGATCACTGAGCTAATTGTAGAGAGAGAGAGATTACACAAATGTATTGATATTTCATACTTCAAGCCCATATCTCTCTTACCATGTCTGCTTCAGTCCCGACGTTTCATAGAGCAGAACAAAAATAGCTCAAATTTAATGGTCTGAATAGGTTCCAATTAAATGATCAAAATTACTTTAAATTTATACGAGACACGTTCATTTTACGTCAATAACATCCGCATTCATCTGAAAACAACTTTGGACTACAAGTGGTAAGTAAATATTGGCTTACAAGTATGGACATAGTTTTGCCAAACATAGTGGCATAGCCAAGAACAAGGAATTTCAAAGCTAGTTCCTAAATTATATACTCAAATAAATTGGCATGAATCCATAAACATTGAATGCGCTTTTGGCAGAATCGAAGTTCAATAGAAAGTTGTGTTTTGAAGTAAAAAGGAAACGGTGAAGAAATAATAAAAAGTAATAATAAATTGCTTGCTTGTTGGATTTCCATCACTCCTGTATACATCCTCCATATAAGCAACTATGTTTTGAATGTATATACCTCGGGACATGCCATATCTTTATTGCCGAAGCCGTTGCTGAGTTTAGACAACGTACCGGACACGATCGCTTGGCAATACACCTCCACAGATTGGGAGTTCACACGCAACCCACATGCCCCCTATGTAACCTACAGGAGGAATTGGATAAGATTCACCTGATTTGGTGTTCAGCCCTAACGACAACGACGGAAACCCAGAGATACTGGGAAGCAAGAAGACAGCTAATGAACGGCTATTAATTAACTGCTTTATATGTACCCCCACCCTTGGGGAAGCTGAAGTCAAAGTTTAAGGGCTAATGATAAATACCATAAAGCCTGCGATTTGAAAAAATATTAGTAATTACTACTTGCATGTAAATACATCGGAACATGCCAGATCTTTTTAACTATTTATTTGTTTAGTTGAAATAAACATGTGGATTTTGGCGCCTGCTTGAACACTTATCATGCAAACTATTTGCAAGGCGAACTGACCAGCTTGTGTGTTTTACTTTATTTGAAAGACTGTTAGCTTCTTTTACCATGTCGAACACCAATGAGAGATCGTTATTTGATGTTTTTGTTTGCTAATTTTGCAATAAGAACTTACTTTCTTTAAAATCAATATTTTATCTTTTAAGAAAGGATCTACAACTCTGAATTGCTCTACCTTCCATTTATATGCAAAAAATTCATTGAAATTTATAACTTTGAATTATCAAATTTAGCAATGAGAAGATATGAGCAAGAAATAAATTGTGTTAACTAACTGTCTGAAAATGATTAGTTTACACAGGGGCCTTTAAAAAACTACTAAAAGAAACAATAAATAACTTTAATATTCTGCAAATTTAGTAATTTTTATAAGCTTTTGATTTCTAAATATGAATCATTTTATTTTGAATTATCCTTTACTGTCCATTTTTTATGCTTATTCACAGATTATTACCCCTTTCTCAATATTATCAATTTTGAAATTCTGAATCAGCCAGCATTATTCTATCCTAATCAAGTTGAATGAATTCCTCGATTGATCAATGCCGTGATTTGACGAAAATAATCTTCCTCTCGACTGTTGCCAAATCTAAACTAACTGAAGTACTAATCTTCTAGTATTTAGTGGCACCTAAACACCAGAGATTTTCTTCAAATGTCCGGTTTCTATGTTGGCCACAAAATTTTGGCTTTGCCTAATTCATGAATCTATAGCAAATAATTGAGTTTGTCAAGGATTTAAATTTTGAAAATAATGCTAGATCAATTTAACAAAATACTGATATGTGCTTCTTGTTGGAAAGAATATGGGAACAGCAGTTTGTTTCGTCAAATGAAATTATCAAGGATAAATTTATTTATTTAAAATGACAGGCTCTATGATATTTATCATTAACAGTTAAACTTTGACTTCAGCTTCCCCGATGTGTGAGGTACATATAAAGCAGTTAATTAATAGCCGTTCATTAGCTGTCTTCTTGCTTCCCAGTATCTNGAGCAGTTGGACGCAACACACTATATCAGTGTCTGCTAATGGGTTCATGGGAAGAGAGAGAGGCTTTTTCGTTTGTCATCAATTTGTAATTCTTTCTTCTGTTCTATGGCTTTCTGTATTAGACCAGATTGGGTTTTTAGTTGTCTTGGTCTATTCTCATAGGTGCCGAAGAAATTATCCATGGGAATGCGCAGTAGCTTCTCATACAGGATCAATGCCATTTCTTTGATAAGGGAACATGTTGTAGTGCTTTCTGTAACTGGGAGCATTGCATCAATAGGTGTTGATATTATTTCTCCAGTAATTAGTCGTAATGCTTGGTTGTGTGCCTTCTCGAGCGGTTTGAGAGTCACCTCTGTGGCTGTAATGAGTGGCTCACACCAATACAGCATTATTGGCTGAATAAACATCTTGTAAATGGTGTTGAGAGTTGAGCGTGCACAGCCCCATACGCTACCAGCAAGACGCTTCAGTACATTCAGTCTGTTGGAGACTCGTTCTGATATTTTAGCAATGTGACTTTTCTACGTAAGCTTTGTGTCAAACGTCATTCCGGGATACGTTTTTTCTGTGGTAGTATCCTTGCACCTTAGAAGCGGGTTTATGCTGTGATGGGCCAAAGAAAAACTTTGGAATGCAGTTCTCGCGGTGTTGATTACCATTCATTGTTGACACACCAGTTTGCCAGTAGTTTAAGTGCGCTATTAAGAGCACTTTCTGTTCTATCCTGAGCGTTTTTTCTTAGGGGCGGAATACCATAGAACAAGATCATCTGCATAAAGTAAGCACTTGATGCCCGTGACTGTCTGTACCAGTTCAGCTGTCATTGATGAAGACATTGAAACAGTAGAGCTTGTGACAGCTCCCTGTGGAAGGCCTGTTTGTAAAAGATTGGATTTTGATAGAGCATTTCCGTATCTGAATTTACATGATCTTTGTCCAATGAAAGTTTTTATCCAGTTTAGCGTGTTACGCTTAATACCAATCTTTGCCAATTTTAGAACTAGCTTCTCTTTCCATACTAAGTCATATGCTGATTTGAAATCGACGAAAACAGCCGTAAGGGTATTTCTTGCATCAAGGGCATCTTTGATGTGTTGGGAGAAAGTGGCTACTTGTTTGTTAGTTTATCTTTGTGGCCTAAAACCTGCTTGTTCACTCCTAAGAATATTGTTGGTCTCAAGGAACCAGGTGAGCCTCCTGTTAACCATTCTTTTCATAAGCTTAGCCAGCGCGCTTGTGAGGGAGATAGGCCTATAGTTGTCAAAGTTGCTAGGGTGTTTGCCCCTTTTAGAACTGGTATTACTATGGCAACTTTCCATTGGTTTGGTACAAGACTGGTCACCCAGATTTTGTTGTAAATCGTCAGCATGGTTTCCTTGGCTTTTGGTCCCATTCTAATTAGAAATTCTGGATGAATACCGTCTTCGCCAGGAGAATTCTTGCACTTTAGCTGTTTTATCGCAGCATTAAGTTCGCAAGGTCTGAATGGCTCAGTAAGTACATTATTTGGTGTTGCTTTGTCTTCCTTAATTTCACCAATTTGTCTTACTTGTATCTTTAAATCTCTTGAAGATTTTCTGACAAAAGGGTTTTTCTTTTGTTTGTGGGAATAGAACCTTGCAAAGCGGTTAGTTATTTCGGAGTCGGTAGAAAGCAGTTTGTTTTTTAGACGTATTGGTTCTTTCTTGGGTCTTTCCTTGTTGTTTTATAGGTTACCCATGAATTTGAAAGTGCGTTGATATTTGAAATGAATAGTTTGCTTTGCACATCTAATCATAATATTCGTGATATCGTAGCAAAGTTTGTCAGGATGTAGGTTGAAGTTCAGGGGACTTGTGTGAAGTTCATTCTCTAAAAGGTTTGTGAATCTAGGCCAGTCAGCCTTCTTGAAGTTCCATGATAGCTTAGTTGGCACTTTCATTGTCATGCTTCTGCTGCCGAAGGTAATACTAGCAATGACTGGTTTGTGACCAGAACTAGGATCGTCAATTATTTTGCGGCGTGTAAGCTCACTGATGTCGCTTAAAGCCAAGAGTAAGTCAGGAGTTGTTCTGGTTCCATTGTAGTACAAGTATGTAGCCGGATCCTCATTGCTGTAGGATTTTCCGGACATGGGTCTTTTTTGTCCGGTGACAAATAAAATGCTGCAATAGTTTTTGTAACTAGTCAGCAGTTTGAATGTAGCATTCTAGTAGGCCTGCGCAATCAATATGGCAATAAATTAAACTTTACAACATCATCTGAAAACCTGGGGTGTGCCAACGACACGTGCAACGATATCATAGCGATTTGTCGTTGTCTATTTGTTGGTCATGCTCTGCTGCCATTTCTAAATGACATAATCAATCCTGACAAATATCTGACCAAAGATAAATTTCCCTACATCCGGGTTATTTATTATAAGTACCTCTGTATATAAATCATCAGATGAGCTTTTGACTTCTATTTGAGACATAGAAAAGAGGCATTCAAGGATCTTCGAGAATGGAATTTTAAATTTCTGATTTTCTACCACTTACCATTAGAAATGGTTTTGAATGCAGCTAATCGTTAGATCTACTCAAGAATTGGATAAATCAAACATTGAGTAAGCGTGGATTAAAATTCGAAAACATAGAAAGAGTTGAAATTGTCATGTATCTTCTAAATCAAATCATATGTCTGCCAAGACCTGAGTTGCAACAAGGGCACTTGTAGTAGAGGAGTGCAATATTGCATAGCAACTTATATGAAATATGTGTAAGCTTGTATATAAATAGGATAAATGTAATTTACATGCAGGAATTACATTAAAAAATATTAAAAACGGCCATTTGCAAAAACCATCAATAATTAAAACCCAGATGATGGCTGAGATAAGAGGTATTTATGCGGCACCTTTCAGTATTAAACTTACCAATTAAACCAACAACTGACAGCCCACAACATTGAAGACGGAGTTCCGACATTGGTACCATATTTTATGTACGCAGAGGATGTACACATCTCTACACCATTTACTTTGACAAGGAATTTTGCCTAATTCAAAAGGAGATTGATTTTTCCCTTCTGTTTCGTTTTTTTCAAATTGATAAAATTGGTCCAAATTATATAGTCCAGACAACTGGGATATTCTTTAAAAGCCACATTTTACGTTATTTATCACCTCATTATTTGAATGAATTCTTTTGCCTGACACCCATTCTCTTCAAGCCATTGGACTTTTAAAATATGATAAAATTATTGGAAGATATTTAAAGAAATGAATGTAGGCAGATGGGTATATTGAATGGCAATTGAAGTAAAGAATTCTCTGTGAATGTGATTTCGTTTTAAAGATATTCTTCAACTTCATATTATTTTATTGGATAGTAAGCACATATTATTAATTTACATCTTAACTATTTTGATAACAGCATTATTATGCACAATTTAAATCACCTTGTTTTGTTGGCCGGCATTAAATCGAAAATTTATTTATTGTTAATAATTGGAAAGCTTGTACCCCATTGAATTAGGCCAAGATCGAATTTTAGTTCTTTTTCTTTCGGATAATTTAATTGAAATTTTAAATTTACATTTCGAGTGCATAATATGGGTTCTCCTATAATTTAACAAATTACTTTTCATTTTAAATTTTCTTTAAATTGGACTCATAGTGCAATATAAATATAATTGGATGATGTATATTGAAATGCATATTTTGGCTAAAACAATTTGGATACCTCTGAAAACCCAAAATCGGATAGGGGTGGACAGGTTTGAAAAATTGAAATGGTCAGTAATTCAATGATTTCGAAGGCGATATGAATTGGATCTTTAATTTTCACAAAATTTAAATCATTATCTTTTAAATTTATCAAAAAAATTTCGTTCTTAATTTTTGGTTTTTAAACTTTGTGCATGAAAACGGAAATGTGTTATTCATTTCCACCTTGGCAGTATTTAATGACAAATCCTTTGCAAAATAACCACAGGAGCTATATGAAGTAAAATAAATACTTAGTGAATATTTCTGTGAAAGTTGATGACAATTGCAAATTTTTAATTGGAATGAAATAATCAGCCTTAGAATATATATACAATTTGGCAGCCTGTTATGCATTTTATGAAAATGTATGAAAGGAAATTACTACAGTCATATATATATATATATATATATATATATATGTTACTGAAATTAAGTATATTAAAGTTTCCATGTCGAATTGTTAAAAAATAAATTAAAACGAAGCGTATTTCACATTTCCTTATATTTTGCAATACGGAGTCTCAACAGGAAATTATTATTTTTTCATGCGCTAGCTAACCCAGAAGTGCCTAAAGTGAAATGCATGGTTATGAAACTAGGTATATTAATGCCATAATGGACTCACAAGTGAATTCATACGTCAACCTGCCATTGACTCTCAGATACGAGTTCCAAAATTTTAGGGCATCTGCCTTTCCGAAAATTTGAATGAATATTCAATTTATTCTTATGATTATACTGTAGAGGTAAAATCAGCAAGACTGCGGAACCTAACTTATGCTCTCCAAAGTGTCTCATTTCCGTGTTGACTTCTGCACAATTGGTGCCTATAAAACTTGGAGAAACGCTCGATAAATAGTCTTTCACCAACCCGATGGTCAAATCGGAAGGTGTTTCAAAGATTTTGTTTTCCTTGCAATATTGCGCCAATAAAAATCTTACACTTGGTGCAATAATTGTTCACATTTTAACAAAGTGTACAGTTAAAAATTAATTGGTAATTGTGATATATTCAAAACTGGGGCAGATGTTATATCATACAAACGACTCAATGATTGCCAAGCTGGTCGTATTTACCTTGCTGCAGTTATTTGCCATTCCAGAAAGAGAGGAATTAGATTTTCCTCATTCGAATTGTTCGAGAATCGTGTCGATACCGTCTGGGAAATCAGAGCCCCTAATATTTGCTACTGGTGGAACTGGCGTAAGAATAAATTTACTGCAATAAGAATTTTAATGGGTTTTCTTTTCCGTTTTTCTATGTCACGTTTGACCAGCTCATTTCGCTTATTGATATTAGAGATAACAAATGTTATGCAGATGGCGAATTGTTCGGTGATCCTTGCACTGGGCATTCTAGCAATGGTTAAACTTCAAAATGTGTTTATAATAATTTCCATATTCCACATAGGTTACTATAATATAACAATCAGTGACATTAAAAATATCCGCGAACTTCGTTTCATTGGAAGCGACGTAACTTGTATTGCCACATTTGTATCTGGATGTCAGTTTAAATCTGTTCAACCAGGTTAGATATATTAAATTTTAATGGGCAGTTACTGTATGCTACGATATTTTAATTTACTTTTAAATTGTGAGCATTAGTGGTAGTGTTTGTTTTTGTTTTTAATAGGAAATATTATACCACGAAAGACGACAACAAGCCGCTTTTAAATAAGTCAAATTGTCCTTGTCAATGTAAACGATGTTTAGTAGCGCACTTTAAAAATCTATTGAAATTACTATGGTAGCAGGCAAACTCGGTAATAGGATAAATTTTAAATTTCACGACCCAAATTATAAAGGTCGTTTTTTAATAAAAGCGCATATTCATTCACATTATCATCAAAATATTTTATTTGCTGGCACGATAAATCAAAAAGAAAAAAATAAAATATGTGGTTTTTTTGCCATAAATAGACGTGTAGAAATTAATGGTGTTCTCTGAAAACTCGGTGAAAAGTATTCAAGGGCAAGACAATTTGGGTTAAACTTTATTGCATGACATTTTTCGTTTTAAGTGGCTTGATTTATTTCTAAATCACAGATTGTATAAAGAATCCCTCAACATCATCCTCGTGTATTTGCTTCGCTTTTACTGAAAATGATATTGATATTAAGGAATGAGCGGTATATTCAATAATTATTGTATAACCTCCTATCAACTATTTTGTATGTCTCATTAATCATATAAATACGTTTTGAAAGTTGAAATATTTAATGGATCATATGAATCCGCTTAAAAGTTATGCTCTCTATTACAAGCAAAACGAATAAAACTTGTAATAAAAAGCGATTACTTTAATTTTTATGAATTCACAAATTAAATATTAAATTTACAGTTAGCACGCAAATCTGATACGTTGAAAAAATTATATGTCCAACAGCTCTGACAAGTGAATTCATACGTCAACCTGCCATTGACTGCCAGTTAAGAGTTCTAAAATATTGGTGCATCTGCCTTCCCGAAAATTTGAATGACTTTTCAATTTAGCCTTATGATTGGATTGCTCGGGTTAAGTCAGCAAGTCCGTGTATCTCACTTATATCCTACAATGTGTCCCATTTCTGCGCTGGCTTCTGTTAAATTAGTTGTTATGAATCTTGACAAATTGTTCTACAAATAATCGTATATAATTCTGATGGTGAAGCCTGAAGATATCTCCCGGATTATGTATTCTCTGCATTATTGAGCCAATCATGAGCGCATGCTTGTTGTTGTAAATGTTTGCATTATACCACAGAGTACAGATACAAATTTATTGGTAATTGTGAGATATTTAAAACTGAGGCGTATGTCATATCATACAAACGACTCAGTGATTGCCATTCTATTCGTATTTACCCTGCTGCAGCTATTTACTATTCCAGGAAGAGAGGGATTAGATTTGCCTCATTCAAACTGTTCGAGAATCGTTTCGACACCGTCTGGGAAATCAGAGCCCCTTATATTTGCTAATGGTGGAACTGGCGTAAGAATAAATTTACTGCAACAAGAGTTTTGCTTATCTTTATTATCAGGTTTTTTACGGCTCGTTTGGACTGGACAGTTCGCCTATTGACATTAAAGATAACAAATGCTATGCAAATGGCAAGGTGATTGGTGATCCGTGTACTTGGCATTCTGGCAATGGTTTACCATTAAAATCTAATGTTAAATATGCCCATATTACACATAGGTTATTATAATATAACAATCAGTGACGTTAAAAGAATTAAAGAGATTTTTTACATTGGATACGGCATCTCTTGTATTGCCCTATTTGTCCCTGGATGTCAGTTTAAATCTGTTCAACCAGGTTAGATATACTAAATTTTAATGTGGGCAGTTACGGAATGCTACGATATTTTAATTTACTTTAAAATTGTGAGCATTAGTG